TAAAAGCCAGCAATACCCAGAACATGCAACAAAAAATGATAAGAGGACTATCAGAAGATTGGTTATGAGTTTCTTCATTGATGGAGATGTCATTTACAAAAAAGGTCGAGATCAAATACTTTTAAGATGTGTAAATGTAGCTGAAGCAAAGAAGATTATTGAAGAAGTGCATGATGGAGTTTGTAGGGCACATGTAAATAGTCATATGATGGTTAGATAAATTATGAGGGCTAGTTATTATTGGTTGATAATAGAGGGTGACTGTATTGATTATGCTAAGAGATGTCATAAATGTCAGATTTATGCTGACAAGATTCATGCTCCACCATCAACATTACATGTTCTGGCTCTTTCATGGCCATTCTCTATGTGGGGCATGATGTCATTGGTCCTATCACTCCAAAAGCTTCGAATGAGCATAGATTAATTTTTGTGATGATTGATTACTTCACCAAATGGGTAAAAACTACATCATATGCTAGCGTGACCTGATCTGTGATATGTAGGTTCATAAAAAAAGAGATAATATACAGATATAGGCTTTCAAAGATAATTATTTTTTATAATGCCAAAAACTTGAACAACAAAATGATGAATGAAGTATGCACTCAGTTCAAAATTCGTTATCGTAATTCGACATCGTATCGTCCGAAAATGAATAAGGCAGTAAAGGCTGCGAATAAAAATATCAAAAGAATCCTAGAAAAAATGATTGATACTTGTAAAGATTGACATGAGAAGTTACCTTTTGCTTTGCATGCTTATAGAACATCAGTCCGAACATCTACTGGGGCCACCCGGTTCTCTTTGGTATATGGAATAGAAGCCGTGTTATAGGGCAAAGTGGAAATTCCCTCACTGAAAGTCCTGATGGAGGTAAAGTTAGAGGAAGCAGAATGGGTTTAGAATCGCTTTAAGCAATTAAACCTCATTGAAGAAAAAAGACTGTCAGCACTTTGTCATGGTCAATTATATCAAAAGAGGATTATGAGAGCACATGACAAGAAAATTCATCCCCGTTGCTTTAAGGAAAGAGACTTAGTGCTAAAAAGAATCCTTTCAAATCAACATGATAATCGAAAAAAATGGACACTGAATTGGAAAAGCCTGTATGTGGTGAAAAAAGCTTTTTCTAGTGGGGCATTGATTTTGGTAGAGTTAGATGGAGGTGATTTACCTACTCTAATAAATTCAGATGCTATAAAAAAATATTTTACTTAAAAAGCATGTTAACTTATCTAAGTTGAAAACCTGAAAAGACAGCTTGGATGTGAAGCAGAAGCATCATCAGAAGAAGATCCCATAACATAGAGGTAAATATAGTTTGACAAACTTTGAAAAATTAAGGAAGTCATCTGATTTAGTTTTAGAGAAAGAATCTGGGAATATTTTGTTCTTGATTATCTTGTAATCATTATTTGGGCACATTTGTTTCAACTCAAACACTTTGCCATGCCCTTGTTATCAGCCTAATGAAATACGTTATCTTTCCTTTGAAAATAATGCCTATCCTTTCCTTTATCCTTATATGATATTTTTGTTCATCGTACAAGTGAATAAGAGAAATGTGTGATTGCATTTTATTTGTCTTGAACTTAAAATGATGAAAAGGAAAACAAACATGAAAGATTTCAGCATTACTGTTTAAAGTTGACAAAGGCAAATGAAAAAGGATGAGAAAAGCATGACAAGACATTGATGTTGCAAACTTTAAAAGAAAAAAAATGAAGAATATAATGGTCATATAGCAATTGTTGAGAATTTAGATAAAAGAAGCAAAAAGTAAGAGATTTTCGAGAACCTTTTTACTGCAATGAATAATTTTGATTGCATTACATTTAGAGCACTTAGTACATGCATCCATGAACAGTTATAATCAAGACAGAGACTTTTTATTTTTTTTTATGGAAAACCAGATTTTGATATTCGGATGAAGATAATAATCAAACAAGAGATTTCAAAAGAGAGAAATTTACTTATTCAAATATGAGAAATCAGTTTCAAGAACAAATAGATTTTTAAAGTTGTTGAGTCTCTGCTGAGAGGAGCTTTTTCAAGAGAATTTTAAAGTTGTTGAGCCTCTACTGAGAGGAGCTTTTCCAAGATAGATTTTTAAAGTTATTGAGCCTCTGCTGAGATGAGCTTTTTCAAGATGAGATTTTTTAAAGTTGTTGAGCCTTTACTGAGAAGAGCTTTTTTAAATTTCAAAGTTTTTGAGCCTCTACTGATATGAGCTTTTTTAAGAGATTTTTAAAGTTATTGAGCCTCTACTGAGATGAGCTTTTTCAAGATGAGATTTTTTAAAGTTGTTGAGCCTCTATTAAGAGGAGCTTTTTTAAATTTCAAAGTTGTTGAGCCTTTGCTGAAAGACGCTTTTTCAAGAGAATTTTAAAGTTGTTGAGCCTCTACTGAGAGGAGCTTTTTTAAGAGAATTTCAAAATTATTAAGCCTCTACTTAGATGAGCTTTTTTAAATTTTCAAAAATTGTTGAGCCTCTGCTTAGAAAAACCTTTTAAATTTTCAAAAATGTGGTTGAACTTTTAGAGCCTTAAAAAAAAAATTTGTGCTCAATGTTTTTTTTTTTTCAGAACAAAATGGTTATTTATTTATCTTTGCCTTATTCTTTATTCTTGATTCTCATAAATAAGCAAAGAGGGGCAGCTGTAAACACCATTTTTATTTTTATTTTTTATCATTATTATTATTTTTTTTCCTTTTTTTTTTCTTTTTTTTCTTCTTCTTCTTTCTTATCCGGTTCAAATCTAGTGCATTAAATGCACAATCCCTAAAGTCCAAAATCGTTGTCGCTAGCTGTCAGTGGCCGATCGATAAGCTACCTAACACGCGTGGCAAGCATGAATTTTTAGTTGAAAAAATGGGATTCGAATCCCAGAAGATATGGGATTTGAATCCCAGAAAGCTCTATAAATATAGCTTCTAACCTGCAAGAGGGGGGATCGATTAAAAAAAACAATCAGAGAGACCCACGAAAAAAGAGTTTTTCAGAATAAAAAAAGTGTTTCCAGAATTAAAAAAAAATTTCTTTCTGTAAAAAAAAAATAATAAAAACCACACAGTTATCCTCGTAGGGAGGAACCCAGCGCCAAAAAAGCTACCAACAAAAAAAAGTCAGTCGATTTAAAAAAAAAAAGAGACCGAAACTTTAAGTCTCGATCTACGTCGATTTGGGCTGTTTTCGATGAAAAGGATACCGGATCCAGAAAGCGCACGTCGAAGAGAATGTTTTAGCATCTTTTGAGATTTTTTGACAATCGACCGAAGACCGGCCAGCAACCACCAACGACGATCGACACGACGGATGGTGACCGACCAACCGGTCTAGAGAGAGAGGGTCTGAGTGTAGAAAGAGAGGGGGAGAAGAGAAAATGAGAGAAAAAAATTTTTTTGGGCCTTTGATAAAAACTGCCAAAGGTAAAACAACGTCATTTCAATAAACCTCCAAAACGACGTCATTTTAGCCTCTGAGATCTGCGCATCGACCCGTGACCCGACTCGAGATCTGTGCAACCGACCTGATTACCCGACTAATCGTTAGACCTAGACCGATTCATCTGAACTGACCCAGGCCGGGCCAAATCGTCTCTGAACAGTCAGATAGAACCAAGCCGCAGATCCGACTGGACTCGCGTTGACCAGTCCAGTTCAGGTAAAAAAAAATTTTTTAGAATTTTTTTAAAGATTTTTTTATATTATTTTTGTTATTTTAATTATTATTATTGATATTTATGCATGTAAAAATATTTAAATTTACCAAAATAAATTTTTATTATTTTATAATATTAATTAATAATATAAAATTGATAAAAAAAAATAAGTAAAAGAAATTTTATCCGACGATGAGATTCAAAAGTATTTCGAGTAGTGATGCCTACGAAATCTCTAGGTGAAAAGGTTTTCTTTAAGTACTATCAGTGTATTGGAGTATTTATAAAAAATTTTCAATAAAATAAAAATTTTTCTTTTTTTATTATAAAATAATAATAAATAAAAACTAATTAATAAATTAAGAATAAGTAATAAAAAATGAGACAAAAAGGGAATTTTATCCGATGAAGAGATTCTAAAAGTATTTCGAGTAGAGATACTTTAAGAAATTCTTAGGTGAGAGGATTTTTTTTAAATATTACGAGTGTATTGAAATATTTATATAAAATCTTCAATATAACAAAAGTTTTCCTTTTCTTAAAAAAAAAAAAAAAAAGAATAAAATGTGTACATCAATATGATAACATTCTGCATTGCATACATGACATAATTTTTACAAAAAATAAATTCAGACCTCCTAAGATGAGATTCTAAGGTATTCCGAGAAACGGTGCCTAAGAAATCTCTAGGTGAGAAAAAATTATTCTAATGTTACTAATGAATGGAATATTTTAAGAATTATTTCAATAATTTTTTAAAAATAAAACAAAACAAACCAATTTTCAATAAATAAAAATATCAAGAAAATTATTTTTTCAAACACTGAGAATGAAACTATTTTTAATCAAAATCAAAGGATAACACATAGTTAAGTGATACCGTTTTTAAACAGGCGTCGTGGGGGTGCTAATCCTTTCTCACGCATAACTGACTCTTGAACTCAGACTGTTTCGCAGACCGTGAAATTATCTTTTTTATAAATTTTAATTAATTTTAAAATCTTATTGGAAGGATAAATTTTAATAGGTGGTCAATTGCACCTAGTCAAAAAAATTTGGTGACGACTCCATTTTTTGTTTTTTTTTTTATTTTGTTTCCAAATTCGTTGGGAGGACACAACCGTTACGACAGATAGGATTTTTTTTGGTAACCATTTTTTTCAATTAATAGATGGAATTTTTTTTTTGTAAAAAAATTTAAAAATAGATAAGTTATTCAATCCTCTAAATTAAGATGAGATGTGTACTCAACAGCTTAAAAAATAATGATTGCAAGTCATGTGTTCAAAATAACCTTATCAAAAGACCACCAACTAGATTCGAAGCCAAAGTCACTTTTGTCAAGAAGAACGATCCTACCATTTAAGCCAAACTCCTGTTGGTATAGATGGGACTGTTACATGCCTTGTTTTGTATACAATCAATCATCCAAAACTGTTTATACAACAATTTGTTTTGTACGTATCGAATGATGATTTCTAGGATGAAATCCCAGAATCATATGACTCAGAAGAACCTATTGCTATGAAATTCTGTGTATGCCTATCTGTATTTGTCTATCTGCACCTAAGCAGCAACAAAATTGATGAAAGGATTTAAAATGGTCAGGATAATATCTAGGCATCCTCGGTTGTCTGTTGGAAAAAGCAATGGTGGTCAGTTATGATGCTATCCCTGTAGCTTCTTTGGGTATCAAAAACAAAAGCATGATTGGAATGAAAGTGCAGAGGAGTTGAATGATGATGCCGAAAAGAAGGTTGTTGAAAGATCCTGAAGAGATGTTTAAGATTGATGCCAGTCCAGCACCTACGAATGATCCTACAGTGGATCCAAAGTTGTTTATTGACATGAAGAGAGCAAATAGAGTTCCCTCGATTCCCGGTGGGCATAGCTGTCCGGACAAGATCAAGAAGGGCATGAACCTGCATTCACATGGAATGAGAGGAAGAGTGAATGACTAAACTGCAACAAGCACACACAAAAGGCATGTGCCTTTGGCACTTGATGAAGAATTTCTTGTTTAACATTGTCATATAAAGTTTATGAGGAATTATCAAAAGAAAAATCAAGCATACTTTAGTTGGTTGATGGCATCAGAAAGTGCAGATCCACAAAGCACCAAGGTCTTGTCTGATACTCCGAAGGCAACATTAGTTCGAGACACCAAAACAACATCGAAGAGGTTCAAGAAAGCCAAACCAATATGTGCCAACCTGCATTATGTTTGCAGAATAGGAGATGCAACGTGATCATATTATTTTTGAGAACGAAATTATTTGCCAAATGAATTTTAAGCTGAACTACTAAGTACTTACATGAGAATTCTTCGTAACTTCATTTTCTTCAAGTACTGATTATAAGTAAATGTCCCTGTCATGAGGCCCAACCATCCAATAACTCGTGCAGTCCCCAAAAAAGATGCTTCCAACTTCAAGAACTCTGTCTGGTAGTAGAACATGGCAGTTGAAAGGTTTGGAACAGTGATGTGTGCTAAGAAAAACCAAGCCATTGGTCTGGAGTTCCGAGGAGCAAATCAAATCAAAAGAAAATATGATTAGAAGGGCAAAACAATCTGTAAAATAAAAGTTGGCAACAATATCAAGCAATAATGTCAACTAGGTTAACAGTTGACACCAAAGAACAAGTTCGGATTATTCAATGCTGGATAGGCATATTCAAATGCTGTTTTAAATCTGCATTTATAGACAAAGAGATGAAACCACCAGATATGTTGACCATTAGTGCAGACTTTTCAAGCCCATAAGCCATTATCTATTTGAGTGATGATCATCTCAAGTAGTTGCCTTGGATATTCAAAGCATTTCATAACTTTAAGCTGACACTACATTTAACTCTCAGTACCAGAAAGTAAGTTAATATTTACCTAAAAATGATTGGCTGTTTAAAAGCACGACACAAACTGTAAGTGGCATCTTTCAGAGACTGAAACCACAGTAATGCCAGGAACTTGCCCTTCTCAGGACTCTGTGTCTGCGCTTTTCTAGGCATAAGTCGTGTCTTTTTGCTTTTCTTTTGGCCCTTCTTCCTTCTTCTGGCACTAGCATTGGATTTCTTTTCCAAAGAACTGTCTTCATCCAAATTGTTGGTCTTCCCATTCAAAAGATGGGAATCACTTGGATTAGAGAATTCAGATAAAACTTCACTGCCTGTAGAATTCTCTTGAACCAAACCACAGGAAAATAACTGTATGGCGGGAAGTACAGAGAAAAGAAGAAAAATGATATCTATCTTTAAGTTGCTTAGTGCATATCCTCCTAGCAAACTCCCACACACACCACCAAAAGCCATTGCTAACCACGATATTGACTGAAGGTCTCCAGCAAATAAGGCTCTGATCCAAATAGTTCAACTTTATAAGTTATTCGTTCTTCAGAAACATAGAAAATAATGCAAACAATTGGTTGCAAAAAACATAGAAGCGTTTATCACATAGAAATGCAGTAAATTTGGAAGATAAACTTACTTCTCACATCTTACAGCCTCAGCAATCATTGCATCAACTACAACATCTGCCATTGCAGAACCCAGGTTTTGCACTGTTAATAAGATTATGAGGTGCCACATGGAACTCCTTGAGGTTGCATTGACACCCAGAATAGGCCATGGCACAAGAGACATCACAGTGGCAATCACCAAGTACGGGATCCTTTTTTTCCCTTTAATGGGAATGCAGTCAGACAGAATCCTGCTTGTGGAAACACAGTAAGGCTATAGCAAACAATCAAGAGATAGTATACTGCAGTTTCCATGACAGCATATATTCTTCAGCTAGATAGCTGTCACCATATCGTATTAAGGCTTTGTATGGATTAAATCATAAATAACATTCTTTTACAACATATACCAAGGCCATTATTATCATTATTAAAGATTGCTTTATCAGTAAATTATGTTATAATCCAAATTTATTTAGAATCTCAATGTCTTTTTCTCAATAAATAGATCTACCACAACTACATCTTTGTGAGACAAACATAAGCACTAATCACAAGAATGATGCATACCCATATATAGGCTTAATACTCCATGGGAAAAATGCTATAGAAAACACAAATTGGGAAGCTGAAGGTGACAACTTAAGCCTGTCCTTAAGCTGGTAGGAAACTGCTGTCCATACAAATGATCTGAAACCCTGCATTCACACGTCAAGAAGTTACTTTAGATCCAAACTCAAAGTAGGAAAAAAAGAGGCAAAAAGGAACATTCATAGGAATTACAAGAACATAGAGCCTTAACAAATATCTCATTCATCAATATTCAACACTAATCAAACATGACTTCTATTAACAAAATCTTTTCTTTCAAATACCCAAAAGAGCCTTTTTTTAACGAAAAAATTATCAAAAAAACTATTCCAAATTGTCATTTACAATTTCCTGTAGCATCAAAAGCCATTGTTATAGAATCAAAAAAAAAATCTTTTTTAAAAGAAAATCAAAACTTTAAATGCAAATTCTTAGTTTTCAATAAAACCCAATAAGAAATCAATACAAGCTGAGATACCCAGAAATCCAAAGCAATGAAATTTCACATCTTTAGGCGTCCCGTGAATCAAACTAAGAAAAACAAAAGAGAGGAAGAATTAGGGAACCTGGGTGAAGTAAATCAAACAAACAAGCCATAAAAACGCCAACCCAAATGCCGTTCTGAGCTGCTTTATCCATTCTATCATCTTCGAAAACAAATTAAAAAAAAAAAACTTCGAATTTCTCTCCCTCTCTTTGTTCTGTTTCTGTATCACCAAAGATCTTTCATTTTTTTTCTTCTCTCTCTTTTTCCAACGGTTTATTTGCGTTTAATGTTGATATGACTTTTATACCCATGATTTGTTGAGCCTACCAACTGGTTTGGGGATACTTTTGTCAGTTAAAGAATACAGTAGTGAACACGTATATGGTCTAACCAAGTCTCGCCACGTAAGCCATCTTATCCCGCCAAAATTTACCATCAGCATATGTTAAGGTCACAGCCATGTTACGCGTTTTGACTTTGACTTTTTTGGACGAACTTCTGTATTAGGCCACTTATTCAAACTTTACCCTTTTTGCTTTGATAAATCAAAATTTTAGTTTGATAAACTTCTGATGCAATAATTAAAACAAAAATCACTTTTTATTTGGGGTTAAATGACGTTAAAACATTACTCGATCTAATGATGTCATATATAATGTTATAATTTTATTTTTCGCGTGTTCTTAAATCATATTTTAAAAAAAATTCATAATTATAGATGATAAAATTTGTAGTTAAACTTTTCTTTCTAAATGAATGATGCATTTTTGTGCTTTTAGGCAATTCCAGTTCAGCCACATGATTTTGTTTTTCCAAAGTAAGTTCATCTTTTTCCAATTCAATGATCAGGTTATATAGTCAAATTTGTACTGGAACAAAGTGACCTGAGATTGCTCGATCACTCTGACTATATCAACAACCTCGAAAAGGTTTGATTGAAAATCGATTAGATTCATCGATGATAAAACAGAAGATGATACAGAACTCAGATGCAACTTAAAGAGGTCAAAAGATACAGTAATTGCAAGCATGAAGAAAAGAATTATGTGAAATCATATGGCTCATACCACCTTACTTATAATTCTTTTTTTGTATATAATCTTTGCTTGTCGCAGGTAGACCACAGCATAGAACATGGTGATCCATCAGAAACATGAACTTTTCGGTATTAAGAACATATAAATTACAACATTATATACCATTTTTTTCATTTGCTTCTGTGTAAGACATTCATGATTGGAACTAACACATCAATTAACATTCTAAATGCAGTATGTCGGGGCACTGGAGGGTCGATAAATGAAAGGTCGGATGCCGTGGGAATGACCTGATGGACGATTATAGGTGAACTTGACACCGTTGCTGCCCTCCCTGAGATGGTTGCAGTGATCATGGAAACAACTGATGGGTCGTGCCGAGCATGCATCCCACTGGTCACTCTCAGGCATTGTTTCAGCCTAAATCCCCTTAGCGTTTTTGAAAGCCTGATAGTTTACTACTTCCCCAGATTTTGTAATGCAAAGAACAGCAACCTCAGCAGCTGCACCAAAACATTTGTTGTACATAAATATAAGATAAACAGATCAAATCTCATCGATGACTAATACATTTCCAGACAATGTTTGAAATATCAGTTAAGATTTCCACAGAAAAACCACCAACTTCATATGGTTAAAGTAATCAGGAATTACCTGGATGAATGAACCTAATTCTGTCCTTTAAAGCATCAATGCCATAGTACAACTGGAAAGATGAAAAGAACACAAAACGTAGATGGAGTTATCGGCCCTCACCAACAATGGCAATTAAAGTGATAAAATGTGAGAGCATTGCCTCCTTCTTAAGATAAAGAAAAACAAAAGGGAGATAGACTTATAAAGAATGCAACTGGCAAAAGATTACATTTCAGTGCCACCATTGAAAAAGAGAAATATCAAGGTTCATCAGTAATTCAACAAAGTTTGCTCATCTATTTGTGCAGTACTGAAGACTATTTCTACCATCACTAAAGTATGATCTTAAACTTCGGGAGCAGTTATATCGATTGCAAACAGCTCATTCTTGACTGGGGAATTGAAGAAGGATTTATTTATAAAAGACCAGACACCTTTTTCAATCCATTAGAAAGTTTTGGCAAGTACCCATTCTTGGATCGATAATCCACTTACTTCAACAAGTAAGCATAAAGAAAAAAGAAGCTTCTTTTCTACCATGATGAGTTGGTCTCACTGTTGTATCTTTACAACATTGGAACCCTAGATCTGTCCTTCACAATTTAAACTAACTTAAAACAACAAAGTAAGAAGAAAAGCCAACATGACAGCCATCAAAGTTGCAGACGAAAACGTATCCAACAATTTGTGATTTTAAGCCTATAAGGCTATAACAGAATTGCTTACACAGACTTTTGGAAGGATGCACCATACACAAGAAGGATTCAGACTACAACAGTCAGCTCAGAGAACCTTTCTAGCACTGCATTAGCTGTTTGTAACCCAATTAGCCACCGGTAAAACTATCGAGCAAGTACCAATCATAGAATCAATTTACACAAAGCAAAGTAATCAGGAAAACCACTGCCACAGACAAACTGCAAAATGCAGTGAACTAATCACTCCATCAAAAGGTACTTGTTTTTTCTTTGTTGAATCTTAGCATAAATTGAATCAATCCAATGGAATTATATGAACAAAACCAACTATCACCTGATTTAATCCAAATTCAATTCAAGTTCATAAGCATATAACTACTACCAAACCAAGAATGGAGCAAACTTTATCACTACCCAGAAACTTAAAACACATTGACACATTAAAGAATCATAATTCCAGCACAAAAACCACTTCAACATTCAGCTAGAAAACATAGCTTTACCAATCAAACAGCCATAATTAAAAAAATTATAAATAAGAAAAAAAAAAGAGAATAGAAGAGAAAGAGAGAGAGAGGAACCTTCTAAAACATATCCTCAGGACCAATGGAAGAATCAGCGCAAACCTCACATACAACTCTACCATGAATCTCACCAGTCCAAGATTTGACACCTGAGATTAAGAAAACAGCTAAGACAACAAAACACAGAACCAGATTCTCCTTCTTTGATTCCATGGCCATGGGATGTGGAATTTTTTTTTTTTTCAGTTGAGCTAATAGAAGTGTAACCAGAAAGGACAACAAACAACGGTTTTTTTAACAAGACACGTGTGTGTACGTAGACTTGTAGATTTGTAGAACTGAATTTAGTATTCTGTGGGATATAGTGGGTCCCCTTAGCTTTGACCTCTTCAACTTCGCTGAATGGCCGGATTTAGATGCGATGATTTCTCTATTCGCCTAATCTAAAATATTAAAATTTATATATTGATATAATATTTTATATAAAAATTATGCATTATAGTTTATAAAATTTATGTGTAATTATTATTAAAATTTATATTATTGTATTTTTATAATTTATTCTTATATAATATTCATATCATTACCAGTCGTGTACCATCCGATTTTGTTTTGAAACCAACTTCGGCATTTTGCTTTGTTATTTGTCAATGGTTAATCATGGATTCCTTCCAAACGGGCCCAGCTTGCTACATCGAAAACATCTTATAAAAAAGTTTCGTGGCATATTGTAATTTCATTATAATTGAAGGACCAATTAGGCAATTTCCATTTATAATCTCATTCTATAAAGCAGCTAAGTCGAAAACTCTCATCCCATAATCACCAATCAAAGTGTATCCAATATCCATCAATAAACACCAAATTCTGTGTTTTTTTTATTCTTCGCTTATTTTTTTCGTTTTTTATTCGGAATTCGTCGATCATGGAATCAAGGCCTTTTCTTTTCAATGAAGATTTTTCATCCCATTTTTCTTGGGTTTTTTTGTTTTTAAATATATACCTATGAAGAAGCAATCCCAAAAATAAAATAAAAGTAGAGGACAGATCAATTTCCATTGACGAATATCCAATTCCGAGGGATGGGTTTCTATTTTTTTATCTTTTGCAATTCTCTGCTTTTTTTTTGGGGGGGTAAATTGGAAGTTAAAATATTTATCTTTGCATCTCAATGATGTTGCACATTTTTAATGTTAAAACTTAAAAGCAGCCCCTTTGCTTTCCCTTTGTGGGTTTTCATTGTTTTTTCTTGAATAATCTCCCTCTATTTTTTTTTTAACTTCATTTGTTGATTAAAAAAGTTTCTTTTTTATTAAAAATGGTTTTTTTTCAATAAAAGAAGTGATTTTTTTATGGTGATCCGTTTTACATCCCAATGATGAATTTTTATTTGATTTTAAAAGTTGATAGGCCTGATTTGCATTGAAGAATAGATAATTTTGAGGGATGGTTTTTTTCTTGTAATTTCATCTCATTTTTTATTGTGATATTTTTAGATTATTTTTGTCTTCTTTCTTACTTTTACTAATTAGTTAGATAATCTAATTATATTCAGTGATAAATGCTTCTTGAAAGAAGATTTCTTTTTCAATTTTTGATTGGAATTTGACTTGACTTGCATCCTTGTGAAGAATCATTTTAAAAAATTTAAAGTAGTGGACCGATATTAATTGATAAGTAATGAATCTGAGGGATGCATGCTCCTAATTTTACTAGGCAAAAACAAAGGTTTGGGTATTCAATTTCTATTCATTTGTTTGCTTGCTTGTTCCTTGAGTTTCTTTTTCTCCTTGAAATGCTTGGTTATGAGCTTTCTTTTTCTAAGTGATTCTTGTGTTTGTGAACCTGGAAAATCATTTAGATTAAATACTTCAGCCATGTGTTTTAATAGTTGCCCTACAATTTTGCATCCGAATGATGACGAAATGGATGTTAAAAGTAGTGCCTGATCGATCAACAATTAGTTGATGATAAATCCATCTTGAAGGATGCGTAATTTTTCTTCTTGAGTTGTTGTTGACCTTCCTCGAATACTTTTTGTTAACATAATTAGTGTCATGTAATTTATCTTTGATATTGTGTTATGGTTTCAGGCCTGCTGATTTTGCCATAGCAGTGTATTTTATTAGGGTCTTAGCTTTTCAGATTACCTTTTCAACATTTAGGATTGGCATTATTGTGGTATCGCAGGCTGTTGACTGATGTATGCTAAGGTCTAATGAGGTTAATTTTCGATTTTCTTTATTCTATTTGTTTTGCTAGCAGGCTGTAGAAATGGACAGACATGGCCATTTGGGAAACAGAGACTTGTCAATTTGCTTGAACAAGTGTACTGATTGTTGAATAATTGAAGAGTAAGGTTGGTAACAGGGAAATTGAAATTGGCAAAAGATTAAGAAAGCATCTCAAAACTCAGGGCTGCTGCCTGAGAATGGGATGTATGATGTTAGAAATGTAGAAAGTGCTTTGAGGATCCAGAAGCTGGAGAAAATGTATAGACTGAAATAAGAATATTGGTTCCTATTATATTTTCTTCCATCGTCTCTGATGTTCAGGCTCCAAAACCCCTGAAGCTGTAAATTTCCTAGTAAATTGTTTGGTGGAATGCTATTTGTGAAAGATTGGAAATGCAAAACGATTTTGAGAAACGGCCTTTCTTATTTGGTTAGTTCCTGTTATGTCAGTATAAATACAGTTTCAAGGGGGTAAAATCTGGAGTCAAAACTCAACTGAAGCTGAAAAAGCTCCCATGAAAGCCATTCAATCCTTAGCATGAAAATGTATGGTAGTTATGCATTTTAGCCTTTGAGGGAATATATTTACAATGCTATGAAAAAAAAAAAAAAAAGAAAAAGATCTCTTTGAAATGATCAATTTTATGCAGCCTGGTGGATGCACATGAATATCATTTAAAGCTCCATTATCAAGTTGGAGATAATTATAAACCATGTTAGATCACCAGTGATCCATCAAGTGCATGAACAAAGCATGGTAGGCGAAGTCATTTCCGAATTTATAATAAACGCGAATCACCAAAATAGAACAGCATCAAAATCATGAAAATTTTCAAACTATACATCTGCCTATGGAGCTACCATTCATTCGCTGTGGCTAGGAAGAAGACAATTGCATAGGTTTTACTGTAGAGAAGCTTAAAGTAATTACAGTTAGCTTTTGGCAGAGATGAATGCTAACTAAACAAATCAGTTAGCTTCAAAGCATGGTCTTCCATAACTAGCTGGTTCTCGATCACAGCGTCTACTTCCTCCAGCAAGCTCACTTCTAACTGATGATCAGAAATTGCCAAAAAATGACAAAACTGAATTAACATATGCCGTTATTAATGACTTTAACTTTCCTTGCTGCTTTTATCTCAGCAACCAGTCTTTCCAGCCTGCTAATTCGTGCTTCGAGATGTAGCTTTGATATCTCATTTAGACAGCTATTACCATAACCCTCAATGTCATGGATACTTGCAGCTTTATCATCTGAACTATCATCGTTTCCCATCGTTTTATCAGCAGGCCTCCCATCATTACTTTCAATTGCATCTTGAATGGTAGCTCTCTTTGAACCTCCATTTGCAGCTTCAGCTGGCATAACCATTGCTGCTTCAAGTGTTGTTATCAGCTCACATCTTGGAAGTTCATTATCTGCGATTGAAGAGGAAAAACTTTGATATTGACCTGATGAGTTCTCTCCAGCATCTCTGTAGTCAACATTGTCAAGCTTGTCATTAGATTTCAACATTTCTGCTACTGTCAGTTGATCTTCATCATGAGAACCCAAAGAAAGACTTCGACAATGACTGGCTGACTTCTCATCATATCTACCCACTTTATTTGCCATATTGTCACGACTGCTAGCAGATCTTGCAATTTTCTCGGTCACTTTATCTTCGACTACATCCCTGACTTCAAGTATATTAGGAGAAATACCAGGAACAACTAGGGTAGTCACTTCGTCTTCGTCAACAGAAACATTGGCTTCCACCATATTGCATTTGGGAGGAAAACCAGGAGGGACTAGGGGAGTCACTTCGGCTTCATCAACAGAACCTTTGGCTTCAACTATACTGCGTTTGGAAGGAAGACCAGGAGTAAGTAGGGGAGTGACTTCATCTTCATGAACAGAACCCTCGCCTTCCACCATATTGCATTTGGGAGGAAAACCAGGAGGAACTAATGGAGTCACTTCTTCATCAACACATTTGAAAGGAAAATCAGGATTAATCAAGGGAGTCATTTTGTCTTCATTAATCAAACTTTCGGTTTCTACCACATTGCATTTGGGGGTAAAGTCACGAGGAACTGGAGCAGTCACCTTATTGTCATGAACAAAACTTTTGGCTTTCAGCATGTTTGCTTTAGGAGGAAAACCAGAAGGAAATGAAAGAGTCACTTTTTCTTCATTAAAAGAACTTTTGGCTTCTACCACATTGCATTTGGGGGTAAAACCAGGAAGAACTGGGGCAGTCACCTTATCTTCATTAACAGAACCATTGGCTTGCAACATATTGCCTTCAGGAGGAAAACCAGGAGGAACTGCAGAATTATTAAGTTCCTTCCGAATTACAAAACTAAGCGCTAGTTCTTTTAAAGGCTTAGAATGAGAGGTAGCTGAAGTAGTCTCATTCTTATCTTCACTGTTTACTTCTGAACCAAGTGCTAGACCTTTTGAACTCCTTGGAGGAAATACATGAGGTACTGGTGTAGTGTTGCCTTTCCTCTTTCTTTCTGAGCTTCGAGCTACAAAACCTGCATTATGAACTTCCTTCTTCCATTTTGGATTTTGTGATAACCTTTTCAATCTTTTCAGTGGAGAACCAAGAACAGAAGTGGCATTGTTACCTTTCTCCTTTTGTTTTAAAAACTGGCATGATCTCTTCAAACTCTTGAGATGGAAATCAGGTCGAGTTGACGCAGAAGTACCTTCCTTTGCTCTTTTCGATTTCTTTGGGTTTATGTTAGATCCAGAAAAGCCCTTACCTTTTCTCATCCCTTTAAATTTCTTTGGCATTCTCTTAAAACCAATGCAAGTATCATCTTGCTTTGGTCGTTTCAAGCTCTTCGGAATCATCTTACAACTGGTAAACACATTACTTCCATTCATTCCCTCTGCTCTATTTGGTGTTATGCTGAAGTTTGTGAAACTTCTTTGCTCTTGCAGGCTCAACACTGATTGCGTCCACCATTTCAAGTACTGAGTAGTAACATCTCCCTCAAAATGCGTGGGCGGAATGTATAACTTCCCACCACCAGGAGACTTAATGTAATCAGACCATGCAATCTCAGGACTATCATTTGAACGGGAAACACAACCAGGAATATCTTGATCCATTCCAAATTGCAATGCTACTCGCTGTGGAAGGTACTGCTCTATACAGTCAAGTCCGACCAGCTCCGACGCCCTCAAGCATCGAGCAAATGACAGCAATTCATCATCAAAACTTGAATCAATTAATATCCATTTCGCCTTGTCTCCATAAAACTTAGCACCATCACAGTTTGTTACTTTCCGAACATAAGGACGCCACTCAAACCTTTCCTTGGATGAGTCTAGAACTGACCTCACATCTTGCACTTTGCTATTTAGGCCATCCCACAAAGCCAACCTTGGCTTACCATTTTCAATCAAATTAGGCTTTGGCCGTAAGTCCAAAAATCTCTCCCAGATCCAAACCTGGACTAATAGAAGTGGTGACCAAAGGGAAATTGCTAGTGCAACATTTTCATCATCACAATTGGACTCTAACAGTGTTGAAGCAACAATATTTTGTTTTAAACAACTCAAATCTCTATAAATTTTAGCAAGAACAGCAGGTGCAAGCGCAATTCTAGTCCCCCTAGCAAGGTGTATAGCAATAGGGAAAACACTTTCAGCAACAACATCAAAAGAAGACGGTAAAACAAACCTTGATAACCACAATGCAAGAAAAGCCTCATGCTCGACTTCGCTATCACTGTTGATGAATTTCCTCATCCATAGGTTATGGGAAACCTTTTTAGATGCACTCCTGTTGATTTCTTTCCTTGCATTGTTAAGTTTCTCCCTTGTCTCCTCCATTTTTTCTGTTTCAACAGGGGTGAAAACAGGAGACCCCAAAAGAGAATAACCCCCCAAGAGCATGACATCTTCCAATGTAATCGTTGCTTCACCCCAAGGAAAAAGAAAACTTTTGGTTTCATGGCACCATTTTTCAGCAACCCCAAACACCAAATCATTGTTTCTATTTATCTGATACGTAGAATTCATGATAGCTTCGAAAATACCTGCTTTCTTCCATGTAGATTCGTGCAAAGAAGCCATCTCGACTACCCAAGTTTTCCAATTCCTTTGTGGACATCTCCAGCCACAGAATTTGACTTCTAAAGGCCATTTTTTGGGCTCAAAAGTGGTTGGCAAAGAGGAAAGACAACGTCTTGTGAGGTTAGCAACCGGTGTTTCATCAATGCAACCTAAGCCTATGGAAGGTGTGATGAAATGGGCCATTCTTACTTTAAGGTTCTTACCAGCTGGTGAAGCCATAAGCTCAAATCTTTCTTCAACAATGGCGTTTGAGGACTCCTCCATAACCAAGAAAGCAAGATTGTTTGGGCAAAAAGTTATCTTTAGTTTCACAAGGGGGAGTTTTCTGAAGGGTTTAAACTATGAAGTAACTTAACCACGAAGAGAAATACCGTACTTAAGGCCGCCTTTTTCAAAGTGAACCAATCAGAACCTAACCTAAGAAAAAAGGACATAATTTCCTAATACTAAAAAAGAAAAACAATGATAAAAAAATACAATCTGATCCAGTTGGGTGGCATATTGGCAAACACCATGAATCATGGTTTTTTCTAAAGAGTGAATTTAGGTAGGTTCTGAATCAGTCCATGTGGGATGCAATACGATACAGTTTGGTTTATGATATTTTATTGAGTCCTTTGCATCATTATTTCAATGCATTGATCAGATTTTCTAAAACTAAAGATCAATTATCATCAACACGTTGATTTATTATACTTATTATAGCTGTTAAAAGCTTAATATGTTTGATTAACCCATAAAACAAATTTTGTGACAAGTGACTTGGAAGTCATAAAGTCATAATCATTACTTCCAATATTGAAAATAATTTTGGGTAAATGACAAAAATGTTGAAAGTGATATTTTGTTTAGGTCATCAACTCATGTTGTTCTCGATGAATTTTGATTCGATTTGATTCGATTTTTTATGATTAATTTTTTTAAAAAAAATTAAATTTTTGATTAAATCAAATCATGTATTATTAAAAAAAATTTGAAATCGAGTTAGGTTCAAGTTTTAAGTAAACTCAATTTTACTCGACCTGATATTTATATAAAAATTAATTTTTTTAATTATTTATTTAAATTATTTATATATATTTATATTTAAATATTTATATTTAAAAAATAATATTTTATTAATTTCATGTTGGATCGAGTTCGAGACAGCAAAAATCCTTTTCGACACGATTCGTTGTCAATCTTAAATTTTTTATTATAAAAAAAAAATAAATAAATAAATTAATTTATGTAAGTATTTTTTATTTAAGAGAATGGGGAAAAAAAAAAAAGATTATTATAACCTTCTTTCTCACATGATCTCATCCTCCTTCCCATTTTCTCTTCTCGGTACATGTATGCTAGTGCATTAACCTGCATGGCTATATCCTTAGCTCCCCACTAGTACTAATCCACAAAATTTGAGGCAGGTAATGGTAATCATGCCACTAATCCAAGTATGAAAACCAATTTATCAGGAAAATGAAGAGAAGATTGAGAATGTTGAAAGAAAATGGTGACTAAAGGCAAAGGGACCATAGGAAAACCATTTTTTTCTGGGAGAATTCTAGTGCTTTTCAATATGTTGGTCATTTAAATTTACCCAATCACACAATATTCCATGTGATAATGTACAATATCTGGGACAAAAATGTTGAAGACAAGTGGCTAAATTGAAGCATGAATTTCGAAATCATGAATTTAGTGTGACCCTTTACTTAAAGTTTGCCAAATTGAAGCATGAATTTTGATTAGAAATTGTTTAGTTTGAAGGTTAAATGTACATTAATGGCCACTTTATTACTCTAATTATATGGTGTATGAAGGTTAATGTTCTTGTCCTTTGTTTAACAGGGAAAAGAGCAAAATTTCTGTCCTTTCAGTTGCACTCTTATTCACACGCAAAGCAACATCCAAAATTTGTGTTTTTGGCTAGTAATGGCCTAATTTCACGGATGAAAGAGGGTTTGTTTTTGGTTTTATAGCAATATTTTAACCTATAGACTGTTCATTTCCTTTCAGCATTTTCTCACTCCTCTCTTTTTTGTCTTGTGTTTCAGAAAATGGCAAATGAACACCTTCATTCCATTTTTCAAATATGTAGAGATGAAAAATTGGTATCCCCCAAAGGAGGGAAAATCATTTTTGGAACTGCCAGGTTCCTGAAACCATGTGTCCAAACAGTGGCACAAGCTGTAACTGTTCCCGACACTCCTTTGCTGTTTGAACTCTTCTCTGAAAACCTTAAACAGTTGCCTGAAAATGTTGATATAAAAGGCTGGCATATTCCTCAAAAACGTTGGGAAGAATGGGTTGATAGGATGGCTGGAAAATATGGTGCCTTGTGGAAGCTGACAGGCATATGTGATGCTATTATGAGTTCTAGATATGAAATCAGGTGTAACAAAGATTTGCTACTTGGGTTGGTTGAGTTCTGGTGTCCTGAAACTAATACATTTGTTTTTCCATGGGGAGAAGCAACTGTCACCCTTGAAGATGTGATGGTTCTTGGAGGGTTTTCAACACTTGGAGAGTCAGTGAGGAGACCTCTAGAAGGGAAGTTGGTGAAGATTGAGGAAGAGATGAACAAGAAACGTTTGATCCTGTCAAGAGACAAGTCAAAAAAGGCTAGTCATAGTTGTTGGATAAAGCATTTTATGGAAGAGCAAAGTGAATTTGAACATGTAGCATTCTTGTCACTCTGGCTGTCAAGGTATGTTTTCCCTTCTCTGCCTGAGAAAATTGTTGCCAAGCAAGTTTTACCAGTTGCTATTCATTTGTCTTCGAAGACAAGAATTGCACTTGCCCCAGCAGTTCTGGCAAGCCTTTACAAAAGCCTGACATTGTTGCAAAATCAAGCAATGTCTTCTCCCGAGGAAATTACTGCTTCAGGTCCATTAAAACTTTTACAATTATGGGCTTTTGAGCGGTTTCCTTCTCTTGGTCCAAGTATTCCCAATGCCCTCAAGCCTGGAGAACCTAGAGCTGCTCGATTTCATAGACTGAATGCCAAAATCAGCCTGCCACTGGTTAGATCAGTTGTTAGATTATCGGATAATTTTAGGTACCGTCCATATGTTGCTGATTTGAAAAATTGGGGACATCCATCCTATTATCAAGAGACTAAATTTTTAGCTTTTCACTATAATGACCCAGATGAGGATCTAAAGTCTTTTGCTAGATGCTTGCATACTTCTGTGTTAGTTGGAATAGATTGCAAAGAAGAGTATTTCCCACACAGGGTGGCAATGCAATTTGGATACGATCAAGATCTTCCTGCTGCCTTTCCTGTTTCTAGCATCTCATGGGAAAATGTTAGGTTTGCTCTTCTACCAAGGTCTTTTCAGCCGTGTGTATCAGTCAGGTATTTCAATTGGTGGGCTAGATCTAACTCTGCTCGGAAAGCGGCTTTGGGGGATATCAAAAGAAATCAGAATATAAGCCCAACATCAGTTCCGGCTAAAAGAAATGTGGAAAGTCGCCATCCTTCAAATGAGTTTGGTGTGAAGAAACCTAAGAAATTAGAAACAAAGGTTTCAATGAAAGCTGAAACTGAAGGATGTTGTTCCTCATTTGCAAATGATTATGCAGCCAAAACTAGATCTCATACGATTCAGGATTGTAATGTTGAGCTTGACCATCCAATGTACTCACTGCATCCGGCAACAATTTCAAGCCAGAAGATCATATCGCCACCATTTCAGTTGGAAAGGACCAAAGTTGATTCCAAAGATCCAGCAGCAATGTGTAGTCTGAAAAGTAATAATACATTTGCTCAAGTTTATGCTGATAACAATAGCGAAGAGAGCCATGCCTCAGCTGCGCCTGAGTTGTCCTCTAAGGTGAAGGGACAGGCATATGAAGAGCACAGTGATACAGATCATATCTCTCTTTCAGAACGCATGAAGCATGTTTCTGGCACCCCAAAAAAAGGAGCTGGCCTGTATAAATCTTCACCCTGCTACCAATTCCGAACCTCTGATTCCCCAACTTCAAGAGTTCTCAATGGAAATCCGAGAAAGAGAAAGTTCTCCCTCACAATTACCGGAAGCAGGAAAGCAACCACTCTGCCTTTTGATGGCAATGCTGGAAGACAAGTCAATGCTGGTGATTCTGACCAAAAAATTAAGAGAATTATTAAAGAAGGGACGAAGGCTTTTGATCACACAAATGGTCCATTGGACAGATCCGAGCATGAGGCGAGAGTTGAACAGAAGAAAATATTTTTAGGATCACTTAAAGGTATTGGTAAAGAAAGGAAGGCAAGAATGGCTGAAGGGTTTCCCAGGAACTCTAAAAATGTTACCTTCAAAGATACTACTACTACAGGTTCAATTGAGAAGTTTGGACTAGAATTAGAAGGCAGGCTAAGGAGATTGGAGAAACTGGCAGGGATACCCCAAATGAAGAACTAGGAAAACCAGTAATAGAAGAAACTTATAGTTCACTGATTTTTGTCTAGGTGCTAAGCTCTTCTCATTTGATTTTTTTCTCTAGTTACTGAAGTGGAATCAGAATTTCATCATTTAGAACTAATATAGTCAGTTTGCAGTGTTTACTTGTTATTATGCTTGAACCTGTTTAATATTATAAGTTTTTCTCTTACATGCCAGTGATCATTCAAGTGCAAGATTTTAGAAGATCCTACTGCCTTTGTACTGTATGACATTTGCATAGCTGTTTCTCTTTTTATGTAAAAAATGTGTAAGGTTATTAATATGAAATATTTTATTGCATTATGCCAGTAGATTTAGAATTTGATGCTGATAAACCACTTGAAAGGCAACTTTCATGTGAGATGTCAAGATCTAATCATATTGACTGTTTTCTTGTTCAGATGTTTTTAACCAAAGTGGTTAATTAAGCATTCAATGCCTAGAAAGTAACACAGAATAAAAATGACTACATTTAGAATTAATTTAGAGTGGTTGCACATTGGGTTAGATTTTTTTATTCCACATCATTGCTTTTACATGTTTTACGATCAGATTTGCATACTTAAAGGCAGCACATGCAAAATTTTATTGTCCAATTTCTTTGATCTGGATTTTTGTAGAAACAAATAGTTAGTATGCAAGTTTAACATGAAGATTAAAACCCCTATTGTACAAAGTTGTTTCTATAGGAGCAATTTGAAACTGAACAATTTGTTCTCAAGCAATGTGTATACCATCATTTGAGTGTAATGTTACCAAACCATATGCAGATTGGTAAAACTCATAGAAGCATCAAGTTTTAGGCTTTCAGCCCATGTTGACGCTCTCAAGTTGTTTCAAAGGAGGCTCAGGAGTATAATAATCTCTCTTTATTTTGTGCTCTCTTAGCCCATTCCTTTCCTATCCTATCTTTGTTTAATCTTTTGCCATTTTGTGGGGTTTTATCCCTACCAATAAAGAAGCCATCCTATTAAATATAAAGTAGGTAAAATCAAAGTTCTGAACTATGAAGGCTTCATGTTGCCTTTTGAATCTCCCTTCTCTGCTGTGAACCAAACAAATCAGTAATTTAATAAAGGCTACAGCCAACAGGTTAACAACAATGGAAGTATGCCAGTAAGAAAATGTGATTTTTACAACGTGGGCACCAACTTTTTATCCCTTTGAGAAAGATTTTAGAAATTTCTAACAGCAACAATGGAGAAGCAATCAGACACCATTTTTGAAGAGAGGGAAGAGTTCACTGTTTCAGCTACTGATGGACACCCTACAAGAAGAAAAGCCCACTTTCAGAAGCCAACTGCCACCTCAAACAAGAGAATAGTTTCTAAGCTTCCTCCAGAGTTGAACAGAAGAAAAGATTTGAAGAATCACTTTAAAAATATTGGTAAAGAAAGCAAGCCAGGAACTCTTAAAAATGTTAACTTCAATCAGGTTCAATTCAGAAGTTTGGACTAGAGTCAGAAGGAAGGCCAAAAATGAAGAACTAAGAAAACAACTAACAGATGAAACTTAATAGTGCTTTTCCATTTTGTCTCCGATAGTTAATGAAGTGGAATCAGAACTTCATTGTTTAGAACTGGTATAGTCATTTTTCCAGTCTTTACTTGTTTTATCATGCTTGAACCTGGTTTATGTAATGAATTTTTCTCTTACATGACAGTGATTATTCGAGTGTTAAATTCTAAAATTGTCCTACTGCCTTTGTCTTTTATGACATTTTGACTGCAACCTGAGATAAAAGAAGAAAATGTAGGTGTTAAGATTTGAATCTCAGATCTATTAGACACCACTCCTAATTCATCTTTTATGACATTTGCATAGCTCTCACTTTGTTATGTCAAAATGTTTAAGGTTATTAATATGAAATTTTTTGCATTATACAAGTAAACTTTGAATTTGATGTCCCTCATATAAGAGATAGAGAAGTAAGAGGGGAATAAGTGCATATTGTTTTAAAACCTTGAAATTTTAAAACTATTATTTTGTTTCCATTATACAGGAAACATTCACACCATTGTTTTGTTGATAATACAGCACATGAGAAACTCAAACACAAGCAATTAGGTCAAGCCATTGCCATCCAAATTAAAAATGATACAGGAAATGTCATGACACCATTATTTTGTTGATAGCAAACATGATGAATATCCATGTTTATGATCCAAAATAATCGCACATTTTCTAAAGCTTGGCAGGTAAATTGGAGCTATAGCTTCTGGTAACTGGAAACTTGACGTGGTCGGATAGTATTGTTACAAGCCTTTTTATATCCTGTGTTGTGTGTGCTGCAGTAAGAGTCACTCGTAACCTAAAAAAAAAAAAACATAAAATTAGAAGGATTAACTGGGAAAAAAGATTGAAAGCAATAGGACAAGAAAATGACCATTGCTACAATTTCAATGCAAAACTCAACATGGAACAATTTCAATGCAAAACTCAACATGGAAGCATGTATGTAAAGTGAAAAGGAAATGAAATATGAAACCTTCCAGTGTTGGGAGGTCCGACAATTGTCACGACATAGATACCAGATTCTAACAATATCCTGAACAATAGATGACATTATGTACACTGTTAGAAGCTTTATTGTATAGTGATAATGAACATAATCAATGATAGAGAAAGAGATATTGACTAGAGGGTGAGAAAGAACAAACCTGCTCGCTTTGGCCGTATTCTCTGGACTTCCTATTATTATGGATAGTATCTGACTTGTGACAGGGATTCCAGTCAGAGACTGGAACTCTTGCATCCGTTTCCTAACTTCCATTCTACGCCATGCTTCTTTCCTTGCCACCACAACCGAGGCTAATTCATACATGTACTCAACTTAATCAGCATCACAACAATTATATGGTAAGTAATCAGTACTTATATAACAAACAGGCAAGTTCTAGTAAGTTGGTATGGGATCATGTTGGATTCAGTACATTTTGAATTTGAATTATTTCGGATTTAGTTTTTTTAAGTTTGGACCTTTCAAACTTGGATTGGATTTGGGTTCATGCTAGTAATATAATTTTTTAGATTCTATAGAATTTGTAATCATTAGGGGTATTTTCGGATCCAAATGATAAATTAAAATTTTTTTTTATTAAAAATTGTTAACAGATCAAAAGAGATTTTTTTTATTTTAAAATTGATCTGACATTTATAGTGTTACATCAATTTGATTATATTATTATTTTATCTCACAAATTCTTTACTTTTTATTTATAAGTAAAGTTATTTAGAGATTATTTATTTATTTTATTTTTTCTTTTACTATTCCCATTTTCCACTCTCTCTCCAACTTTTAATAGTTGATTTTTTATTTGAATATCAAAATATAGATGAAGAACACTCTCTATATTTATCTTTAATCATTCTATTTTTCTGTTGTTATTCGGGAATTTGACTCTTTACTTGGAGCTTGGCACCAACAATAACCATTTCAATACATTCTTTTCCGGTTTGGATTTTTTGGGTTCGAATCATTGATTTTTTTTTTGGTCAAATCAAGTTCGGACGGGTTCATATTCAAAATTTTCAGACGTTATCCAAGTTCGGGTTCATTTAGTCTCCTCTTCACGTCTAATCACTTTCTTGATCGTTTCTGCAACCCAATGTAGTACTCCACTGTATTTTGTAGTTAGAAATAGAGAAGGTAAAAAAATCTGAATTTATAGGATTTTGACCTAATCTTTTAGGATTGATTTTTTTAAAAAAAAAAATTGAGTGTCAGATAAGATCGAATATGATAAAAAATTTTTGGGTTCGGGTCGGAGTCAGATTTTAGGTAAATCCGATCTTATCAGACCCGATATATATATATAAAAATTATTTTTTTAATTTTATATTTAATTATATATATTTAATTTTATATTTATATTTAAAATAATATTTTTATTAATTTCGAATTAGATCGAATTTAATTTTATATACTGTTAGATCGAATTCAGATATTAAAAATAAAAAAAATTTTAAATCGAATACGAGTTCAAATATTATATATTTAAAATCGAATCAGATTCAAAATAAGTAAAAATCTACCCCGACTCAATCCGTTGCCATCCCTAGAAAGGACTTTGAGCTTTACCATATGAGGCAGCAGCCAAGGGAACCGGCACAGTTGTTGAAAATATGAAAGAGCGACCCCTTTATTGAATGAATTGCTTCCAGGTTTTACTGTTCATGTAATTGATTTTTTTTTTTGTTAGAAATTAAATCACACTTAATATTTCTCCATTGGTATGATTTGACCCAGTGTTGCATTACCTGCATGCTATGAACCCTCCAAAAGAAGCTGATATCAAATATATTTAATTATATCTTAATCATTTTCCATTTTTGAATTGTCAATAAAATTGATTGATTAAATTTTTTTTTTATTTGATTTTTATTTTTCTTAAAAAATAAAATATAAAATATAAAACTTAAACTTGACTCAACTTGTCCATATTACAACATGAACTAAATACAAGAATGATCTTAAAAGCCAACGATCTAAAAGCATACTTGATCCGATCCATTGAACCTCAACATGAAAAGATATATGATATCGTTTGAGATTGCAAAAAAAAAAAAAAATTGTCCAATTAAACGACATCACCAACGATAATATAAGATGATTTAAATTCAAAAGATAAATTTTACATCACATCATTATCTTTTACGCTTTTCGTTTCTTCTTCTTTTTTTTTTTATATATATATAAATAAAATAAAAAATTATATTTAAAAGTCATTGTTCATTGTCAGATTCACCTTCCAAACACATTTCAAACTTTTTGCCCTTTTGTTTGCCGATATGTTACTGACTTCGATTTTTTTAAAAAAAGTTAGAAAAAGAAGTGTGGGGATAAAAATTAGAAAAAGAAGAGATGTGGGGGTCGAAAATAATAGAAGGTTAAGGAAAAAGAGTGGCGGGAAAAGAGAAAAGAATGGAGGGAAAGAAGGAAAGTCTCTGTCATATTCGATTAAATCAAACTTGTTTTT